CCTCTCTGCGGCCTGGGCTTCCGAAGGCGACGTTCCAGGCGACGTTAGGCATTTTGGCTGGTTGCACCCCAAACCCTCCCGGCACCTGCAAAGGCCTCCCGGCACCTTTGGCCTAGTCCTGCGCCGCAGCCTTGCCTGGCAGAGCCGGTGCAGTGTGGCCGGCCGCGGCCTCTCTGCGGCCTGTCCGAGGCCTGCTTCTTCTCTTCTTATGGGCCTCCGAAGGGGATGTGCCAGGCGACTTACGTGTGGCACGCAAAGTGCGCTTCACCCAAGTGTATCCAAGTTACCACTGCCAGTGATACATCTTTTGCAAAATCTCGGTAGAGAAAGTCCTGCACGAAGAAGACACAGAGCGCTTCCTGGCCGCTGACCTGCTTCGCCACCTCTCGTAGCGACTTTGGCGTGTTGCACCATGTGGACAAATATGCCGTGTGAAAACCATGTGAGCTGCTTCCATCTGATTGCAGTCTAGAAGTAATCACTCAACATTGAGGCATCCTGTATCAATTCGTCTCGCTTCGCCAGGTTCAACGTTCTTGCAAGATTTGCATACCAACATATCACCGTCTCGGATGCACGATCTATAAAGTGTCACTCGTGCTAATCTTGACATCCGATCACGTCACTTGATACATCTATATCCCACGGTTGAAATGCCATTGTCAAACGTAGTCCATACTTACCCCCCGCACCTGCCCTGGAGAAAACAGAGGTGAACAAACGCGACCTCGTCCACCCGACGAAGGAAACCCGGTGCCACGCGAGTCGCGCCAGCGGCGGGCGGTCGCGCTGGTAGCAATCCAGATAGAGCAACAAGTGTTCAGCGCGTCTTCTGCCGACGCCACATCACCGCGCCCCACCATACCCGGCGCAAAGTAAAAAAAATGGCGAAGCGTGCCATCTTTTAGGCTCCGCCCTGGCGCCACCGACCCCTATTTGATGAAAAGGAATTGGTAGACAGGCCATCCCTGCGCCCGCCACGAATCTTTCCGCGTCCACACGTCTAACGCGCACAAAGTATACTGCGCCTGCCACGACATGTCAACTCCGTCACACCTCGCAACCTCGCGATTCCCTGCACCTGCCACGAAAATCGCACTTCCACACCTCAGAAGCCGCACAAAGTACTGCGCCTGCCACGAAAAATGACAATATCATCTCATGTGGGCTTCAACAAAATTTGCATAACACCACACGTTTGGAATGATTTCGACCCGTTCTGAGCACACTCCCATCCACCCAAATCGGCACTGAGACGCAAACAGAGCTTCGATGCCACACCCTGAAACGCAAATCCCAATGGCACGGCCACATCCAACACCCCAAAAACACGACTCTCCAAACGCTAATCCCAATGGAACTGCGCAGCCTCTACCAATTCCTTTTCATTAACATAGGGGTCGGCGGCACCAGGGCGGAGCCCTTACAATTTACCTACATTGACCCGCATCATCAAATCACCCTAAGCAAAAAATGCCATGCGAAGATTGCCTGGGTAGGCAAAGCTCTGTACAAACTACCACTTGGAGAGTGTCACACCAGAGTGTCCTACAAGGGTGTCGCGCAAAGTCCTACAAGAGTGCGGTATATGTGTTTCTTGTTCCGTGTGCCCCAGTAAGAACTCACCGGCTCATCCCCCTGGTGGCAAGGCGTCGTCAAAGTAATCCAAAAGCGCGCCACAGTGTTTGGCCAAGACATCCTCAATCCGAGTCGGCGGAAAAAAGAAGCAAACCCGTCTGAGCACCGAATTCTGTGGACGGCTTGAATAAACAATGTTGTAGCAAATCAGCAGTTGCTCCTGTGGCGTATTTCTTGTCCGAAGGTTCGATATAATGTTCGATACAGCGGTTTGTGGGCTTCTTCGACACATGCAAGATCAAAACACCCGATGATATCACTGAGACAACCATGACTTAACTAAGTGTATGCTATGTGGTAACATGTGTAAGAAGAACCACCCCAATGAGCTGCTTGAATCAGGAAGCTTCACCAAGTGGATTGAGTCGAACCATGTCGAACCTATCCCAGACACTCCATGCATGGAATATATGCCTACATTGACCCGCCAAATGTAGGCATATATGGCAGTCCCATGGAGTGTCTGGGTATTCTTCTTGTAGGAACCTCCAGGAGATCAGTGACCCGGAACTGAACCGAGGAACTGACGAACCAGAAACGAACCAATCTTGTCCTTGGCAAACCCATGACATCTGACATGAGGTATACAATATAACCTGCAAATCTCCAGGGAAATTGAAGCCAAGTTCACTGTTTTTGTTGGTGCGCGGCTTAGAGGAATCCTCTTGGCTTCTCGCAAGCAACGCATCCCTACGCATCCATACGCAACGGAGGTCGTGGCTCAAGACGAAGAGGGGAGACCATCCCAAGAAGTTTGGTCAGATCGAGGCAGTTCGACCCCCTCAGTGAACCGTTTGATCGACGGAGTGGGGTGCACCAAAACCAATTGAATGTGTCCGGCAAACAACGTCCGGACACGACTTCTGCGTTCGAAACTCACCTCTTTTCTTCTTTTCTTTGGCAAATGGTTCGATCCAGGTTCGCTGTCAGGATCTGTCAGGTAGGATTCTGGGCTTTGTGGGGTAGATCTGCCAGCCAAGGTGAAGTGTAACCCCAGAATTGAAACTGCGGCTCGTGAAAAAGAACTGGCTCTAAGTGAGATAGCTGGCGAGTTAGCTGTGTCTTCCAAGGCTTCTTCACTATTACAATTACCAAGCCTATCTGACAATACAGTTGAACAGGAGAGGGAGAGCACACGTCCGAGAGTTGGCAGTCGGCGACAGGCTGGACAACCTTTGCATGTAGAGATGCCACGGTCCGGCGAACAACACCGCACACCTCGTTTCTCAAAGCTGCCAATATCTGAGATAGGAAGGACTGGTGACCGGACCCAAAGCTGCTGACCGTTTAGACAAGACAAGAACTTGGAGCTTGCCTGGCTGGTTGACTGCAATCTGGCCATGCAGTGCCTCGCTCACGGTGGGTGTTCAAGCAACCCAGCCAGCTCGCACAGATCCTTCAGCTGCCAAAATAGGACCAAACGCGACATTTCCCTAGCCAGCTGTGTCAAGATAAGACCAAATGACTTTCTCACAAGTCCCCAGAGCTGCCGCCTCCGGGTTTGTCTGTTGCATCCTTTTGTAGTAAAAACTACACAGATCAAGATGACATGATCTAAGGCCATCAGGTCTCAGCATCTGTGTGGCCTTTTCACTGTGGCCGGGGGGGGTTGTGCCTTCCGGCGCGGCTCTAGAGCCGATGAATTCGCGGCTGTTCCACCTGCCTTTTGGAGAGATAAAATGTTTGGAATGTCTTCGGGGCTCAAATCCATTCAAATCTTAGGTTTTGCATCACAGAATGCCCAGTTGAACCAAAACACATCTGAAAACCCACCTCCAGGCTGCACCTGAAACCTGCCACACCCAAATTTTCCGTTTGGAACCAAGGTGCCAAGTTTAGCAGGATGAAGGGCAGGTGCGGCTCAATCCTGAAGCGCAATCGCGGTGGGAAACCGTCGGAGAAGGTGAACGTTGACAAGTCAACGAACTGTGGTGATTGTGGAACGATACGAAACGGTTCGGAGCTGGGGCCCCCCATACTCCAACTCATAAATCGGTGAACACATGGATGCTGACTTACATCTTGGTACAATCAAGGGAGTAAGGAGGGCAGGGACCCGTGGACAAACCATGGTTTGTGGAAGAGAACATTAACGCGTCAAAGTCAAAGTGTCAAAAATTTAAAAATGAACCGAGTCTCCCACTGTTGGGGCCTTTATTTCCTTGAGAAACGTGCCATAACTCATAACACGCACATACAGTCTGTTGACTTCTTCGAGCCCTTTCAACCCAAATCCTTAAGGGTTCAAGGAAATCGATGCAAACATGTGGCATATTAATATGTCACACAGCATGATCATCCATTGCATTTTGGGCCTTACCGCGGCTTACCCCATTCCCATCCGTGCTAGGTTGGTAACTATCCAGTCCCATGCGCTGGATGGTCGTTTCGCTCGCCCGACAAAGCCACGTCTGGTCCAAGACGCTCGTCCATTCGCTCCATGATTCGATCCAAGCGCGGCCGCACCACCTGCGAAACATCCAGCGAAGCGACGGTTTTCTGCGACATCGTTATACCTCTAGAAGACTCATCGTTATACCTTTAGGGCATGGTTCCGAGTTGGGATTACCATGGCATCCCAAATGCCACAATCAGGTGGAGAACTCCATTGCCATGATTATTTCAGGGAGTGTAGAATAGGAATCATCTGATAAACGCCAGAATTTGTCAGAATTCCATAGTCATCGAGGTCTAAAATTGGGGATGATTAATCTACAGTTTCAATGTGCTTGCAGGAACATTTTCCACAAAGCGAAATGCTCCCAAAATTTATCCTCTTGTGGACACAGGTGGGCGCCCTTGGACTTCACGCGCAGCTCCAAAAGGACCCAGTTTGGAATGGGGGATTGGAAGGTGGAAAAGGTGGACAGATGATAGATGTCAAAAAAAATCACCGGTCTCACCGGCCTCATTCCCAGGCCATCCATGGGATTGACATATTATTTTACCTACCTGAGAAGGAGAAAACGAAAACCAGGCCAAACACGGAGGGAACCTTTTCCGCGCGCGGCAATGGTCGCATGGAGCGACCCGACAACCATGCCTAGAGTAACCTAACCGAAACATGAGTCCACTTCCAAGGTCGAGGACCACTCACATGCTTGCTTGTTCAGCTTAGAGAACTTGGGCCCATCGCGCAAGTGAAAGCACAGAGGCGAGGACCAAGGGGATCAAGTTTAAGCCAGCAAGGCAACTCTCTTCGCGAGAGGCTCTTCACGAGCAAATCATTGATACCATACAGAAACTCAAAGGTATTCGCACCAGTTGTAGTCCCAGGCCCACCACACACCGGTCTGTCTCCCGCTCTTCGGATGAAGCTTTCACAAAGGGCATGCGGACGTTGAGTTAACCAACCTACTGCTTCCCCTTGAGCAAGGTTCTCTGCAAAGGGCCTGCCTGCAGGATTGGCGTCGGTCGTAACTCTGTCAACGAACACACGGATCTGAAGCTTCAGAACCAGGTCCCAGAACAGGGTGATGAGCTCACACAAGTCCTCCCGACTCGAATAGCCCCCCTTCACATCTGCGGTGGATATCTTTGCCCATGGCCTGGTCTTCCTTTTGAGTTTGTACTTGGCAGGACTGCTGTACGCGTTGGTTAGGAAAGGTTAAGAGGCTTCCTTGGAGGTACCCCGCGCTATAGACACATGGAACCGGTTCTCTTCGGTAATAGATGCAGACCAGATAAGAGCCACAACAACAGAGATTCGGCTAGTCAATCAAAATCGATAAGCGCAAGGTCAGGTCTTCGAGCGAGACCTCACAGGGGGAGAGGCACCTTTCTCTGCGAGTATTTGGGCCGCTGTCCGTTGCCATCGGCCACGACCCCCCCAAAGCCCGGTTTCCATGGCGACGAACGGCCACATCACCAGAATGCAGGTATATGTGCAAGAGATGCTGTTCAGTTTTGTGGTCCGTCTGCCGCCCCCCCGTCTGGCACCGGGGCGAGGCCCAGGAAGGTCGTGGAACGTATGAACCCTTCCAAATGGAGCTTGCAGACCCCAAGTCGCCCACCTCGACCACATTGCCACGAAGATGTGCGACAAACAGCGGCTTGCTGTATTCCAGAAACGCGAAGTCTATAGATGAATGGACGCGCACTTCACTGGGCTGCCCACAAACTGCTGTCGATCGTGGCGACGACTGCAACTTCACCACAACCTTGCCCATGATCCTGTCACTCACACGTTTCACATGGAAATCCTTCAAGTTAACTGCAAAACGTCTGGACTCACACTTCTCTTCAGCAGCCACCAAAGAAGGACCAAGCAAGACACTCCAGTAGATGATGGATGCAGGTGGCTGTGGGTGCCAAAATATGTATAGCTTATGTGGATCTCCTGCGGCAATTTTGTTTGTATGGTTCTCATCTTACATATTTCTGATGCTACATCATACTGTTGTGGGTGTGGTTCAGAATGAGAGGACTGACCTTGGAAGGGATGCCCCTGCGATGGACGAGCAGGGAGGTCCATCTGCCCTGCGATGCATTTTTGAGAGGGTTCAACTAATTCCTGACGCACCGCCAAGTATTGAATGAAAACTAATCACGTCTAGAAAGGTCTCTTGATCTCCACCACCTCACCACACCGTGTAACACCGGTCACCGCGGGACCGGTCGCGTCGACCCTGCTGGACCGTGTCACCAAAAGGGTGATCCGACCCGAAGCTAATCGGATTTACTAGACATATCTAGACATGTTGTATTATATATAAATATATTCCCCTTTGAATGAGAAGCTGGCTGTGGATTTTCATTTCATAAAACATAGGTGCTATAGAATGTTTAACCACAAAAAAATCACTATAAAGGTTAAACCGCTGGAATTATAAAATGTCAAGACGTTACAAGCCAACTCAAGCATGGCAGAGCCTGCTGCCTATAGAATGTATTGACCCTAATTGAAAACAATCGATTACTCAGGACTTTTATTTATATATATTTCGAATGCATTGACCCTCTCCAAGATCCTCTCGGCGACCCTCTCGGAAGCCTTAATCCTTCTTTCTGCTATCTATACAGACTGAAAGCCTGTGTTGTTAATAAGTTTAAATGTGTTGAACCGTGTTGAACCGCAAAATAAGTAATCCAAAGCTTGTCTCTGCTTCAGAAGTTTGTGCTCTACAAACTGTATTGACCTCCTGAAATATGATCCACATCTTATAAAGGAACAGAACTTTTATAAATTGTGTTGACCTCGTGTTCCAAAACCGAGGTTTTATGATGGTCCTCCAGCTTGGGCCTGTATGGTCGAAAGACTTTTTATAAGGGAACGAGAGATCGACATTTTATAGAAATCTAGGGGGATATAAATATCAAAGCCAGGTACCAGCAGTGGCCTCCTGAAATCATAGCACCCGTCTCAGACTGGCACGAGGCATACAATAGACTGCCTTTGGACTAGCCATATGTACTATTCTCGTTTTTTTTGATGCTCGTGATGCAATACCTCTGTCACCTTTTGCATCACCAAGCCACCAAACATAACTAACCTTCTTGGCCATCCAAAACACCAGCAGGCTGAGGGATTTTGCGCCACTTTCTCCCAGTCTCCCCCGGGCCCCCCCCACACCCTCCACTTACGAACTTTGTTCGTAGAAGTTAACTTTTCAGCCTAGGTTATCGGGTGGCGTTCGTCACATTGGGGTGGTTGAAAAAGGGTCAGTGTGGGTATATCCATTCCATACATGGAGGGTCTGGGACTGTGAGCTGCAGCTTTTTGAGGTTCCAATCAAGGGTGGCGTTGAGAGGCTCCAGGTACGAGTAGATCCTTTGCACCGCCAAGACCACGCTTCGCGGTGTAGCTGATCTATTCACGTACGTACTCGTGTGTGCATGGGGTTAAGGACTCTCAATGTAACTCCAAACATTGGGCAACGTTGGCGACGCCAGCCATGAGTCTCCACTTGAGCCTGCAACCTCAAAAGTGCTTGGGATGCTTCAGGGGTCTCGAATCCCCATGCAAACCTTCTGAGATGGCCCACATGCTGCATGTGGGCCAGGTTTTCGGTTACCCAAGCCTCGAAATACGGATCCAAAATCCGCACGATGCCTGAGGCTGATGGGTGGGCCGTGGGTGGGGAGATGAGCTGATGGGTTGGGGGGATCGACATATCCTCCGAAAGGTGAAGATTGGGATATAATTATCTATTATCCCTAGGGCTCCAACCACCTCCTGAGAAGGTGGTTGGGGTGGGTTTGGGGGGGTCTAACCACCTTCTGAGGATATGGTTGGAGCCCTAGGGTATAATCATTATCATAATTTATCATATCATCCCGTCCGCCCCTAGTTTTTGAAGATCCGCGTAGCACCCTGGTCATTGCGAGGTTACCACCTGCCACTTTCAAGTCTTCCAAAGCCTCCAAAGAAGAGATGTTGGAGGGGCCTGATAGTTGGATCTATATTGTTGTCCGATGGATTTTGTCGGGCTCCCCACTCAAAGCAGTGTCAAAACCATTCTCCAAGTGCTTGGGACTGGGGAAACATCCGTTGGCTTATGGACTGAGTTGGCAGGTGGAATCACTGAAGACGTCTAAATCAGGTGGAACCACTGAATACTCCTACAGAGTTGCTCACATCAGGGTTCTCATTGCATACGGTGATGGTGATCAAAAACTATTCCAATCCCATGGAGGGTCCGGCAACGCCAAGCAAGCCATCAGATTCCGCGTGAACGGGCGCGGGCGCGAGCCGAACGTTGGGCACCCCGGCCGGGCACGTGTGGCTCGATCACCGACAGCCGCGTGTAGATGGAGGGCAAGTGGGGGATGATCCTCCAGCAGTTCGAGCCGGTTTTCACCCAACGAATCGATTTCGATGCGAGGACGCTCAAACAAAAAGAACATGTCGAAGGCACTCACGGACTCTCCAGTCGCTCCAGTCGAACCACCAAAAAGGAACCTCGCAGATCTCCGACCCGTCCACCTAAATCGTCTCAAGTAGCTGCGTTTGGAGGGACCTGGTGGGGCGGAAATTCACAGAGCGTCTGTTGGAGTTTCTGTTGTTCTCTGGAGCCCGTGGAGCCTGGGTGAATGATGGGCGATGGACAGGGCCAAAGATGGCTGTTGAAGCAAAAGCCAGGCCACCTGAGGCACGGCCGCCGACGTGGCAAAAGACCGATAAGACCACGAACCGCCCCCCTAACCCCGCCCTGCAACTCGGATGCGATTGTTCATGAGACTTCTGCTCGAAGTAGAACGTGATTGCTTTAGACAGAGAGAGGGGCATGGTTCCACTCAGCAAATGCCTATAGGCCCTTTCCTTGCAAAAACAAACAATTTGTACTTCATTGTTTGAAGATGTCTAAGAACATCAACCTCTTGCGGCTAATTGGACGCACACCCCAAAAAACACGCTAAGACACGGATATATTATGACACCTTCGAGCTGCGTGGCAGACACCTGCGAGCTGCGTGGCATCGAATTGCAAACACCTTTGAATACCCCCCCAAATCATAAAACAATACGTACACAGACCAGCACCGTTCAGCTGAATCTACCTGGAGTCTCTGTCTGTACCTCGCAAAATGGGGCCCTCAATCATACCTGTTCTTATGGGGTCTGCCAAGGCGCTGTCATTGCAGCATTTTTGCTAACAATTGGAGACTGCTTTCGTAAAGATGAATTCAAACGAAAATGTAGACAGTGATTGGGTTAACAAGTCCTCGAAGGGTGTGAAGGTAGTCGAACAACTATACCGGAGTACGCAGTGTACGTATCCGAGGCCGCAATGTTAGCCCTCGCACTCAGCACAGCAAAACCTGTATGTCAAATGTGCTTAACAAATATCCCATGTTTGAACGGAAGTCGGGGCCACGCAGCTCCAAAACCCTTGGACTACTGTATATCTTGGCATCCAAGTGGCAGACAGGCCTGCTTTCGTCTGCCTCAGGCAAAAAAAGGCACGTGCCGAGTACTAGTGCTTGACCGCTTTCGGTCCAGTGCAAGTCTTGTGGCTCGCGGAATCTGGTGGCGTCATGCGCATTTTCGGACCTGGTGATCACTCGTCTTGGCATGCGCAAGGGAAACCGCGTGCTTTGGTGGTCCAAACTTTGGACACTTGTGGCAGTGGCATTTTAGCTCGGGCTCGGCTTCATGAATCGGAGATGCGAATCACATCGGCAGGCTGTGTGATGTGAATCGCAGTACTTTGCGGACCTTGAAGTGCAGATTTCGTGGCAGGTGGAATGGTTTGTGGGCCTTGAAGTGCAGATTTTGTGGCAGGCCCACTACTACGTGGACACCGCCAGCACCACCATCATCACCACCACCATCACCACCACCATGATCACCACCATCACCACCACCGTCAACATCATCACCACCGTCAACATCATCACCACCACCATCGTCTCCACCAGCATCACCATCATCATCTCTCTCTGGAGCTCAGTGCGGCTAGATCTCTAGACATTCTGCTTCTACACCTCTAGACACACTGTTTGGGGTTTCTTGCCGACATAATTGAGGTTACACATGTGGTGGAGATCCATATTGTGCACTCTGAGTCACCAATATGAAAGTGGAAAACCATGGAAAACCCACCTCTTTGTCGACGAAAAGGGTCATCCTCTGGGCGGAACTTCCCAGACTCGGCGGGTGCAAAGCCACCCAAAACCTTGATTCTCACCGGCGCCTGCGCTTGATTCTCACCGGCTGCGTAGGTCCAAGGTGCCAAATCAGGAAGGCCAAAGGATCGGGTGCTTCCGCCAAGCGCCGGAGGAGAATCCGGAGCCTTGAAACGACGGCGGTTCGAACGCCGGGCGGGTGCGGTAGACCAAACCTTGCAAGACACTCAGGGAGAGAATCTCCTGTGTTTCCATGCTGGTACGGGAGACACTCTCGTGAGACCCAAAGACCTACAGTGTACCAAGATGTGTGTATGGCTCAATGATGGGTTCCCTGAACACATACATAGATTCCCTATAGTGCTCCCTGCTGAGAAGTTTTTGGGGTGGCTTCAGGGATCAGTCAAATGGAGAAACACGGAGAAACAATTTCACGACCCATTTACAACCCTAATGTAGGTATAGTATTCCATACATGGAATTGAATGTTCTAGGTCTATTCATCAGTCAAATAGAACACATTCCCAAACACTCCATGGTACCATGGCACTGCGGACCGCCGTATTTGCCGAACAGTGGTCTTTCTGTCCAGTCCACTCCCCTGGCACGCCGTCCACATCCTCGGCCTTGGAGATCCAAACTGGGCATGAAACGGAGAGACCAAACAGCTATACCCTAGGGCTCCTGGCCCATCTCCTCAGGTACGGTGGTTAGACCCCCCAAACCCAAACACCCACCCCCAACCACCGAACCGAAACGGGTCGTGGGTGGGTGGGCCAGGAGCCGTTGGAGCCCAAACGGGATAGCTGAACCAGTTCCCCAGGGATTCCGAGAAACCTCGTCCACCGACGCGGTGGGTGGTTCGCTTCGCCCCCACCCAACACCACTGGACGTCCGGCGCGTCGTTGGGCGCCACCGAGGCGGAGGCCTCGCTGAGCCAGTGGTGACCATGGGTGAAGGTTCCGATACACGGAAAGGCCAAACAGGGTTTGGTTCAATATGTGTTCAATAGAACATGTGTTTGGATCATCAAACATCAAGTCCCGAAAAAATCCAAAGGGAGTGCAAAGCGCAGCAGGCCCTTTTGCACGTTATTTCTGTTTCTTGTCTTGAGTATTCGAACGCCCTCGCTGAGCAGAACACAAATGGGCTGGGTGGCATTCACAGAGGCGGTGCCAGAACCCTTAAGCCACACTGCAAAAATGGCAAGGCATTTTGGCTTAATGAAGTGTATCCCTAGAGATCCTGTCGTACCTTCTCAGAAGGTATTTGGCCTCCAAACTCAGGGGGTATGTCGATACCTAGGGTATTGAAGAAACATGGCCTGCTCTGCACAGGTTTCGAGCACGTACAACATATAAGGGGCAAAAAAATGGACACACCGCACTCAGCACTGGTGCGTGCAATGAACTAGCATTTTGCAAAAAGACTGCACACACACTGCAGCAAAACTCTACTTGTGCACGTGTGTGAAGGCTTGTCTAGCAAGAGTTCAAAGATTGTATTAAAGCATGTTAAAACATTGGGAAACACTGCGCGCATACTGGAATTGTGATCCTGCGGCACTTCATGGTGTAGAGTAAAAGTTATGTAAAGGTTCTATAATAATCTATACTTGTCTATAATCCATTAAACATTGGGAAACATTGTGATCCTGTGACACTTCAGGATGTAGTGCTAAAGTTCAAAGATTGTCTTTAAAGCATTGGGAAACGCTGCGGGCACACAGCCCGTCATGCCTTTTGAAAGTTGGTAGCCTGCAACGCCTTAGGGTTGTTAGGGACTATTAAATCTACGAATCTACGTATTAATAGGCGCCTCGACCGAAACGGGGTTCCTGACACTTGAGGCCAGAGGGGGTGAACGAAAGCTAGCCGGGCTTCCGGTGGTCTGCTGCTGGTGCTGCTGCTGCTGGTGCTGCTGCTGCCGCTGCTGCGCTGGGCGCTGCTGCGCTGGGTGCTCTGCAGGCGCCGGGTCGTCTGCTGCTGCTGCTGCTGGCGCTGGGTGGTCTGCTGCGGCTGCTGCTGCCGCGGCGTTGGGTATGCTGCTGCTGCTGCTGCTGCCGCCGCTGGGTGGTCTGCTGCTGCTGCTGGTGCTGCTGCTGCTGCTGCCGCTGCTGCGCTGGGCGCTGCAGATGCTTGGTGTGCTGCAGCTGCTTGGTGGTCCCGCTCACCGCGCGCAGGGGGGAGTCGAACCGCGGGGGGGGGGGGGGGTCCATAAGATTGATTTAATCAATTATTTGAGGTTTCTGAGGTGCGTCCACCCCGTCACTTAACTTGCTAAAGCAAGAGCAACTCCAGCTAGCTAAGGCTAGCTTTCGTGATTTGATTCAAAACAGTTCAAATATATGGTATATTACGTGATTGATAAAGATCATGAAATGAATGTGGTGTGTTTGGCTGAGCCCGCTTCTGCTAAACAGAAGACACTGGATTGAAAAACTCAGTGGCATGTGGCAGTGATTCTCACAAACCCATGGTTCTCTTCCATTCACCCTCGCCTCCAGCAGCTTCCGCCGCATGGTCTGCATCCCCTGGCAGCTTCAGCTTGTTTCGTGGCAAAAAAAAACGACGCCCAGAGTATGGCTCGAGTCAAGACGCAAGAACCGAGTCACGAACTGGAGTTTGCAAGGTCCAAGCGTTGACCCTTCTGGCCTACCTCTCTTCCTCTCCACAGGGCCTACATATTGCCCCGACACTGAGTGCCCTCCGCGTAGCTGCAAAATATGTCGAGTTGTCCATGCTTTTTCCGTCTGCTTTTGTTTTGTGGGAAAACCAATTCCCACAGAAGGTTTGAGATTTTCCACTGACGATGTAGGGAAAGACGTTTTGGGGCTATTGGATGAGAGTCAGATTTCTCAAACATCAGCTGTGTTTGACAACATCCTCCAGCCTCAGCATCTGCCAACCTACAAGCTGCCTCGATTGTGTAGCAAATTAATGTTGAGTTGACTCTTGCTTAATAAATCCCACCCATTTGGAGTGAAAAACCTCTGCATAGGGTTATTAAGCAAGAGTCTACATTATCCAGCCATATCCAGCACATTGTTTTCTTGCACTCTGAAGGTTGCATGGCTGGCATATCTCTTCACTTTTCACTAATTCAGCATGCAGGTTGCATACTGGCGAGTTCTCATCGGAACTTTTATCACCCATAGCCCGAAAAAACTCCGTCACAAAAGTAAGCAAATCTACCACTTCACGGATACTGTTGATGGAAGACATATCTTCAAAAGGAACTGGAACCACCTGAGAGGTTCAGAAACACCAAAACAGTCCTAATAGGCTGTACCTGAATAGGCTGTACCTGTGCTGAGTAGGCTACTCTGAGAGTACATTAATGCTCCTAGCCTACTCGTTCATTTCACAGCTGTCTGACAAGTCAGGGCAGCCTACCGCGCCTCGGAGTCTAAGCGGCCTTGGACCAAGGGCTTCAAGCCAGCGAGGATGTGTGAGTAGAGCTCCAGCTCTTCCTCTCGAAGCATCGAGCTGAGTGGAGCAACGAAACCACGTTCAACGAAGCCGCGAGTGTTGAGGTTCTCTGGTACGTAGTTTAGTACGTAGTTTTGTTTAAACATCTACAACTCATTGTTGCAGGGTCCACAGTATGGGTACAGTAAGTAACAATGTCATAGAAATAGGCACAAACAACATAATTCTGCTGAGGTACATGATAAACTCTGTCATCTTGATCTCTATCTAGGGTTCCAGTCCTTCTCAGAATGCACTTCCGCCCTAGGGAAACTGATGCAAAAGGTCCCACGTCCGATTCTTAGGCACAATTGGGCACATGTTCCTGTAAAGATATCCAGGCCCACGGACTGAGTGGGATGGACTAGGCACTTCCGTCCGAACACAGCGAATTGGTTCGGTCATTGCTCATGCACTTCATGTATGTCTAGTGGATTGAGAGTAGATGGCACAAGGGCCCCCCAAGAGGTGTTTTCTTTTTTGTGAACTCCCATGTAAAGGACATCTTGAGGTCTGTGCCATCTACTCTGAAAAAATCAAACAACTGTAGACTCCTGAAGTGATCTTCCGGCATAATATACCTTGATCTTCCAGCATGCACAATTTCTGCCTTTTGGCTGTTTTTTTTTGATGAACAAAAACAAACCTTTTGCATATAGTTGGAAGATCCAGGTATGCCACACATGCAGTGTCTGGGTAATGATGTCAGCCCAAATAGCCACAAGTTTGTTGCAACGGAGTCTGGGGAGTTTGCTCCTATGATCGGAGGACGCCCTGAAAACGAGGTATCGACATATTTAGTCCTCTACCTTCTGACGGCTCCAGCTACCTTCTGAGGTTCGGTGGTCGGGGTGTGTTCCAGGGGGTCTAACTAACTGCGGATGTCATTGGAGCCGGTGTGTCATCACAGGTTCGACCTCACACCTCGACCTGGCGTCTCCGCAAGTTTTCCAGTCACAACTCAAATCCTATAGCAGCTACAAATGAGGTCCAACCGGATGAGGGATTGCTGACTTCCTCGGAAGTTATCAACCGACTTCGCACCTTCCCCAAGTGAAAAGGTACCCCGCAGGACTCTTCCCGCTCGCACAGAGTGGCGGTGGATCACTAGCATTCAGAGAGGTTGAGGTTACCTGAACTAGGACCTGTCACCTGGGGTACCCAACTGGGATAGTCGAACTAGGGTTCTGACCTACCTCTATTGGCCAGGCTACCCTTCCAGCCCCTTCCTGCCAAGTCTCGATCTTCCCTTCCTGCGGCCCAGTCGATGCATCGTGGTCGTCGAGGACCTGCCGCACCCTGGAGGCGTAGATCACGTCCGCGATGGTCGACACACAGGAGTGGCCTGGACGTCGGTCTGGAGTTGGGTTCGTCGGATCCAGGTACCCAACCGACCCGGTTCGGTACGACCTGGACCCGACCCTGGCACCTACATCACGGTGTGAATGACCTGACAAGGTTTCGTGGATCCCCTAAGGGGAGGAGTTGGATCTGCCAAGTCGAGCATGTAAGGGATGGTATCTAAGGTATCGAAGTCATAGACGGGCCCCGTATAGGTTCTTTTGGGATGGGCTTGGCACCCGAGCAACTTAGTTAGGGATGGTTTCTGTTCCGAACATGGGACACTTTCCATGAATCCTTCGAGCAATTCTCCAAACTCTTACTCATCTCTAACATCACTTTACAAAATGGTTTTAAATGTTATATGACTCACATCTGGTAGGACTGTCCCTGAACTGCCTTGAGAACATGCTACAACTATAACTACACTCCCTTGATCTCCCTTGACTGTCCATGGATGCTGAAAGAAACTGCTGTATTCAATTCTACACGAAGTATCATGACATGGACCGAAAACAAATATCTACAACAAATCTGCACCCACCCTTTTCAGCCTTTGCTGAACTTCACGTCGTGAGCCAAAAGTGATGGATATATCCCGATGAGCCTCAGCAAGCGAGGAGAACAAAACCCGGTGCGAAGGAAGATTCTAGACTCTTCTAGACCCAATAGCGATGGCCTCCAACCTACTAGCAATGGCCTCCAACCTCCAACTAGCAGTGGCCTTCAACCTACTAGCGATGGCCAACCTACTAGCGATGGCCTCCAGCAGGGCAATGTGAAGCTCCAAGAACAGAAACCCAACCAACACCCTTCTCAGGTGGCTGTGCATCACACGAAACCCTAACAACCAGTCATCCAAGCTAGGCTGTGACGTCTCTGCATGTTGAAGTGTCTTTATTTCCCCAGCGCCTAATTTGACCTGTTTTTGATGTATATACAAAACGAAGCTGACTCCCGGAATTTGGACTCCGCCCCCATGAATTGACTGGGATAATATATCCCTACAAGTCAAAGACCTCATTTCACTTGAGTTGGTCATACAAAAACAATATGTAAGGACCTGTAAGGATGCTAAAGACCAGGTTTTACTGGGTCTTTGGACTTGCAGGGTATAAATATATATAATATATATATGCAAGCATTCATGCATGTTGTATCAATTTACATCTCTCAGTCCAGAAATGTCCAGTAGGCTTTGACATGCGCCCGTCACCCAGCTCTCAATTGAAGAAAACTCTTGGTGGAACTAATCTCAATGACTCAAAGACCATTTTGGATGGCCACAACCCTTTGGACCTTGAATATTCTTGATGAGGCACTTCCAGACATTCTACTGACGGCTAATTCAGAGTCCGGTGTGTAAAACATGGTTTTTACCACTTCGGCCGATTTCAAACACCTACAAGCTCCCAAACGAAAAAAAAGACCACTTCACGGCCCCTTCCACGACCCTGCTCCTTACCCGAACGAGAACAGTGTCTCCCCCTGCTACGAGACCAGTCGTGAGCCCCAGAACGACCCTGCTAATTCTCACGCCCAAGGAGCTCCAAGGCCTTCTCACGCGACGAGATGGCCGCTAGCCGCGACAGGATCTCCGCGACGTCGTCGGACTCCACCAGCCTCGGTCCGCCGAAAGTGTCAAGATGGGGCGGCGGTTTTGGTCGTTGGGAGACAACAAAGAGCTGGAGTGGCAGACAGGAAGGATGGATTTGGTTGGGATCTGACAGGGAAACGATTTTGTGGATGGAGAATGGTATATCATGTTGTGGAATGCCTTCAAAACAGATTTGGCTTGCACCATTGCCAGTCCCAAGCATGGAGAAACCCAAGAAGGCCCTGGTGAGGGATTTTGAACCTGCCAAACTGGGAAAGCCATTGCCTCAAATTCGTTCCGAGAGGAATGAAGGGTGGCTTTACAAAATCATTCAACATAAGTAAATTGACTCACGTATACCAATAGTGCATGGAAAACTGGATCAACATGATGGTGATTGATGGCGGGTCCCCAGAAAGTGCTCATGGTTTTTAAGGGGTTCTCCGCTCCCCTTTGCAAGGATAACACTTCAACCCCTGTTCCAATCAGGGCACTGCAAATGAAAAAAAAGGACCAATCCGCCTCCAGGAAGGTCCATCGTTCGCCAGTCTAAAAGGAACGGCAACCAACAGCATTGGTGGTTGGACACGGACATGAAAAAAACGGCTCCAAACGAACACCTGGCGTTCGTGAAGGGGACGGATGTCACCAAGGGAGCCAAAGCGTGTAGCCGGGCGGTTTTCTCCCGAGCCAAGGGGAGGCTCTCCAGCTCTGAAGCCCTGAAAACAGTGGTGTAGTCACCAGGAACAGAAGTGGTGAGGGAGCCCTTTGCATGAGCCTCCTTTAAAAGGCGCCTAGGGGCATGGGAGAAGTGACTGACAATGATGCGGCCTTCCACACAAAAAGGCGAGGCAAGCAATGGTATGTAGAACCAGGCGTGTTGATGCATCAGATGGCGTCGGTCAAGTTGAAAGCGTCCCAACCAAAGGTTGGACTATTGCACTAAAAGATGAACGGTGACCAACGTGTGTGAGCCGTGAGCCACAAGGCCAAGCGTTCACCTGTTGAGTGTCATACCTGGTCTCTGTGTAGCAAGCCCCTAGGGCTCCAAGTACCTCCTCAGAAGGTATGACTGGACCCTCCAAACCCACCTCAAACACCTTGTTAGAAGGTACTTGGAGCCCTAGGGAGCGCAAAGCCCACAAAAGAGAGGTCGAGTGTCTAGAGGTTACTACTTCCCCTGCTCCCCTTCCCAGTGCATCCAGGCAAACCACTATAGTCGCTGGTAACCAGTGGTTCCAAGGACAAAAACTACAAGCCTAAAAGTAATGCTTCCTTATAGTGGCAACTGGGATCCTCTGGGATTGTTTCATCCACCCCAAATACCAAATGCCTCCAGGCAACAGTGGAGTAACGTCAGTCTCCACGATCTCCAACGCCTCTAGACCGACAATGCGATGAATGACTCCGTCCATGCCTTGCCTCACCATGATTTAAACACATCCCTCCTCGAATACATCGAAACTGAAAAGACGGTAATTAAGAATCCGTCACCGAAAAAATGAAGATGCTCTGCTGCCATCCGCTGCCCGCATCTCCAAAGAGTGCATGCATGAGTCCTGCATTTACCTGCATACTTTGCTGTCAATCTGTTGAAGAGGTCTGATATTCCAATCATCTCCAATCCCAACCCTGAAATGGACATCCACGACATATTAATGCAATAATCTTGCAGCACCTGGCACAACAACACAAAAACCTACGTGGCTGGCGGTTTCAACTGAAAAGAATTGGTCAGAGTCAGTGACATCAATCATCTCAAAGAAAATACCCTAGGGCTCCAACCATATCCTCAGAAGGTGGTTAGACCCCCCAAACCCACCCCAACCACCTTCTCAGGAGGTGGTTGGAGCCCTAGGGTAAAATAACACGATCTGAAACCACCACCCGGAGACACGATCACCGTGATTTGCCAGCTTTCCACACCTCCGTTCGCTTGGTGCACCTCCATTCGACTCTGAACCGACCGAACTGGGTGCAGCCGGGTCTTGGGGCGGGATCCACCCGTGAAGATGCTGCGAAGAGGGATTTTTTCGGATGACGAACTCACTGGAAAACAAGTTCCGGTCTACGGTCTGCTGGTACACTGGCGACCAATTGCTTGAAGAGAATCGTTGAAGAGGCACAAGAAGGCATTCAAATACCCGGGTCCAGGTGCCTCCCTACTTCGGATGGTCGTTGGAGGGGTTCACCTAGACCTCCAACTCAACCCGACAGCACCTCCGTGGAACGGAGGCTGCGACGGACTGGGTCATCGGAATCACAGGGAACGACGATTCGTGGCGTGGCGTGGCCTGTTCTTGTGAAACGCCCAGCGTCTGCACTAGGCGTGGCCACCGGCGCTGCAGATCCAGTCCTTGTGAGGACGAATGTGCCCGGTCTGGGTGAAACCTTCCTGCGGCTTGGGAGAACGACCTCCGGTTTTAAAAAATGGGTTTGGGCTTGATGTCTTCTACTGATTCGGGCTCAGAAGAAGTTTGAGCTAACATTGTCTTCCACACACTTTTCCAAGCTCGTTCCAACTGTGGACCATTGGAGGACGGTTATCCCTATTTATAAAGCTCACTCGTTTGGTGTTTTTTGTGGGTCTTGCTATGTCTGGCAAGTTTGATCATCCCAGAAAAATGACCATCCCAGATCCTCCTAGACATTTCCCTCACATTCCCGGACTGTTATCTTCTTCAGGGCGAAGGCGGGCATCAAACTCGATCGGATGCCCCAACCGGCCAAAGCATGCCGAAACAACCTTCAAGAAGGTTTCTCAAGAGTCCAAGACTGATGGGAACGTGCGCCAATTGCCAGCATGACATTTCATGAAATTGCACCCCCCGTGCAGACTGCCCGGATGAATTTAAGAACTCCTTAAGCCCACCAGTGACCTCACCCACTAGACCTCCACTATGTACAGTATTTAATTCACTTTCCCTAGGGCTCCAACCACCTCCTGAGAAGGTGGTTGGGGTGGGTTTGGGGGGTCTAACCACCTTCTGAGGATATGGTTGGAGCCCTAGGGTTTTATACCGGTGACCAAAGCAACAGCACAAAATGACCAGTACTTAGCTTCGGACTATTCCGAAATGACGATAGGAACAGAAACCGATCTGCACGACGATGGCAGTCGCTTCATCCCAGGAACTGTTGAAGGGCATGGCAAGGAAGGCCTGTCCACAGCTCTGGGAGTGGGACGTCCGGATAACAACAACAATAAAAAATGGCTTTCAAGATCTTTCAAGGGTGTGACATATGGTTTAAAGATATATATATATATATATATGATGACTCCGTTTTGCGTTCACAACCTCCCCTACTGAGTAGAAGCCTTGGGAGGCTTCCCCTTCCTGCAGCGTTCTACTTCAGGCACCGTCCGCTTCTCCTGGGCCCTTGCCCTTGGAAACCCAGTCCCAGTCCGGTTGGTTCCAAACATGGTCATTGAAATCCTTTCATTATAGGAAATGGCTGGGACTGGAGAACACTTAGAGAACTGTTTCTGGTTGTTTGGGTTTCCAGGTTGATGAGAATTTGAGGAATGGCATGGACTTTAAGGTGGCCTGCAGGTGTATCTGTTTGACCATCGTGCCTCTCTTGCACCCGTCTGTCTTAAACTCTTCTGGGGGAGTCAGACGAGTCTTTAAGCAGAAGGAAGAAAAATGGTTCTGAATTCACAGGGTGCTGTAAAAACAATGAAAGCCCTGATCCAACCCCTGCTGTTCCATGTCGAGCAGCACGGCTCCTGATGCATCCTTTCGGTGTCATTTTATCAGCTTCTAAATGGGCAGTTCCAGTGTGTACCTATGTACTACATGGGTGTGTATCTTCATAGGACCCCCCCTCTGGCCCAATGGGTGTCAGTCTATTTCCCTTCTTCCAGGGGTCTGTGCAGGTCTCCCTACTTAAATACAAACCCACATCGCTTGCCATAAATACAAACCCACATCGCTTGGCTTGAATAAGCTCCCATCATGCCTAGGTCGCACGTGGTGCAAGCATGAAACGATGCGTCAAAAACCACGTCCCAAACATATGCTGCTTATTCTAAGATGGTCTACGTACCTTCTCACATTTGGAGCTGTACGATGCTATAGGGTCTAGATGGTATAGCTCCCCGTCTTCATCAGCGGCAAACCAGGGAGGTCTTGTGCACCAACACCCTTCACCCTGCACCCATCCCAGCCGAGAAAGCGCCTCATCCCTGATGGCCTGTGACGTCGGGGCTCAAGGAAAGGTGACATCATTCAACAAGATCTGAATCTGATCCATTTTGAACATGCCATCATCGCCTCCTTCCAACTATTGTACTCTCCACCAAAGCCCAATTAATTCTGTCCAGATCGGGTTGAAAGCTTAGCTGTGTGGTTCCACTCAACCTGGTGCCCGACGAACAAAACTAACACACAGAAGCCTCCAAAACTCCCAAATCCAAGGAGGATACAGTAGATGGTGAATCGGGCGGCAGCACATCAAACCACTCCACTCAAATACTCTGGAGTCTGGACAGAAGTGATTATCTAACTATACATCTTCTTTTTTGAGGTCATGTCCCATTTTCTGGGATCTAAGTAGTAGAAACAGCACTCTCCAGTGAGGCACTCCATCCGCACTCTCCTGCCCCCAGGAGAAGGACCTGCGCAGCAGATCCTTCCCTCGCTCCGCTCCGCTCTCGATCCGCGCGGGGCGCCTCAGGATGCTGCTCTTCGACCAGCTGGTAGAGGCGCTCCTGGGGGCCGCCAGGCAGGTGGGCCATACAAGCTGCAGGTTGGCTAGTACTAGTAGTGATGGTGAAGAAGCTGAACTTGAACTTGCACATAGCTTTCAGCTTTACAAGTACCTCTTACATTAACACACACATATCCTAAGGAAGAATATGAACAAGTACCTGCGCAAATCCCATTAACAGTAACAGTGGAAAATGGTGGTTCTGCGTTAGGTTCCAGGCCAGTCTACTACCCAGCCAGGGGCGATCGGAGCATCTCGGGGGTCTCCCTATCCTAATTCACCCATATATCTCGGGTATATCCTATTACCAGTAACAGTGGAAGGTGACATTTTTGGTAACTACGCCGATTGAACACAGCTTGGAAGTGAAGGCTATAGTATGAACAAAATATGTATTGGGTCTATCCTATTACCAGGGCCCAGTGGATAATGATGCTTCAGTTGCAGGCCGACATGTCTAAACAAGTGATTTGCTTGTTTACCGACGGCTCTACAGCAAACCCAAGGTATATCCCACTACCAGTGCCAAGCGGAAGATGACCGACAATGACGGTTAGGTTCCAGGCCGACATCGCAGTTCGAGGTCATGGGACACACGCCGAGTTCATGGCCATGCAGGTGGAACCTGTGAAGAAGCCATACAGATCAGAACGCAGTGGACCTGAAAAGGCACCACCCAGGAAACGGGTGGTACCTTTTAATGACGCCCCCCCTGACGATACCGAACAATCCTTGTTCCTGATGATAGGTGGTGCTGGAGAATGTTTTCCGGATTTGGGGTTGATTTTGGTCAGAAAAGGCCAGAAGGATGAAACAATATGAAACATGATGAAACTCTTCTCTGATGAGCAAATCTCAATAAAGATTGAAAAGCGTCTGAACATCTCCAGAAACCTGCAACAATCTACGGTTGTCCTATGTCTTCCTAGCATCTAGAACCCTGCCAAATGGTGGAGCAGACTTTGGACACTTAAGAGTGGTGGTCCAATACACGGGGAAATCCTAGAAACATCAGAAACATCAATCTCCCAGAAATGGAATTGCAAGATCAACTCTAGGCTTAGTAGAAGTTAGATGGAGTTGTCAGGATACACTTCATTAATCTACCCTGAGTGTGTTCAGAAACTCCGGCCGCTCGAAAGATCCAACTTTTGTGGATGTTGCAAGCAGCGCCCGCAACCCGCATCATAAGCACCTCCTCCTCCTCACTTACCCCGCTCCCTTCGCATTTCTCCGCTCCCTTCGCCGCGGACGTCCTGAAGACGCTCAAAGTCTTCCTCGTTCGATACCAAGTCCTGGCGCGCCTGGCAGGATTCATATGGGCCTTTCCGCAATGGCCTCCAACCTATCATTCCCTTGGGATCCACTGCCACCCTCTTTTCGGTACGGTGATGTGTTCGACACTGTTATAGGTGCCAGCCTGAGGTTCGGTGCAAGAGGCTCCCTGGTGAAAATAATCCTCTTTTGAGTTGATCGGCGTTTTCAGCAAACCGGCTGGTGAACGAGGGACCAGCTCGGACCAATCAGTGAAACATGGACCGTGTGCGTGCATGTGAGTCCTCCTCACGGAGGCTCGAGTATCCGTTGGATGCCAAAGTTTATTGCAGCATCTCTAAGGGAGAGCCATCTAAGTCCACAAAAAGACTCAGTTGCAACCCAGCTAGATGCTTCAAACAGCCCTTGGTCTTTTAAAACCGCCGCAACGTCTGAACGAGCTCCTCGTGGTTTAGGGTTTAGGGTCCACATATGTCCATTGAGGGTCCATGAGGGTCCATGCCCCATCCATGCGTGATGGTGTCATATCCATGATGATCCGGCCGAATCCGGATCATCACAAAGACCCTGGGCGCCAAAGACGAGACGCGAAGATTGTCTGTGTGGAGGGTCCATCACCCAGACCATCCATGTATGGAATATACTTAATTACAAGTCAAAGACCTCATTGGTCATACAAAAACAATATGTAAGGATGTTAAAGACCAGGTTTTACTGGGTCAGACTGGACTTGGGATATGCAAACCATGGACCCCCTTTTCAACCGCCCGGCCTGATCGGTCCCTTCTCCGCGCTTCCCATCCCTCGCCGTCGAGGTCGGCACCTTCATGGCTTCCTCCGCCTTCTTCCGGCCCTCGACGAAGCTGCGAATCGCCACCATGTTCTCCCCCTGCGAGACGAACACGAGGTCCAGTCCGCTACGAAAAAGGGACGAGTTTAGGGAAAGGACGGTTACATGTCCTGGTGGTACCCAAGCAGTGGTCGAATAGGAAAAGCTAGCAGGATGTTGATAGGTTTTCTATGGATTGTCTTCTACTAGATCTTGGCCTTAGTAACTCAAAAGGTTGAGCTCTTGGTGTCAAAGAGAACTCAACTGGAAAACTCTTGGACACTCTTTGAATCAATCCTTCACTCACCATTGGCAAACTGCAGAGCCTTCTGAAACGCATTGGTTTTGGTTGCCTCGCAGTGTAATGTCAAAACAAATCAAACCTTTCTCCCTGAAGCCTCAAGGAACCCAAGAACAACAACAATAACAGTCTGACATTGTGCGCCACTTCAATCAGAATGTTCATAAGACAAGAAAACAACGACTAGAACGTTCACAAGAAGAATGAACATAGATCAAACCAAATTTGTGTTATTCTCAAAGGACCAGAACGTCCATTAACAAAAATAAGAACTGAGTCCTTTGAGAACTTATTTCCGCCATAAGATGGTGCCCAAACTGCAGGAACTGGCCCTCACGTTGCAGGTACGTAATTACTGCCTTACAAGCGGCTCCCAGTTCCAAATCGAAAAGAACCCGTGCGCAAGCACAAAAAAAAAACAAATCATTTCCGGTAGAAGTGCTAAAAAAAAACTCAACTCCGCCAACACCATGGTTCAATCCGACATCAATCCGGTGTGTAGCTCAAATAGGGAGATCTCCCAACAACGACTCAGGGCGCTCTGACCCTCTCACCCTTAGCTGGGGAGGAATACTCGGCTGTCCAACAGGCCTTGACCAGTAAGGCCGCAGTCTGCTGGGAACCCCAGACCCGAGTGCACCCCGGCCGCACACCACCGGCGGGCACCGCGCCATCGCGGCCGCAATACGCCCTTCCACCGGTGCGACCGGAAGAAACCAATGAGGTTGGCATTCCTGGGATGGGCAGTTGAGGCCCAGGTGGATTTAGGACTCTTCACGAAGTAGATGGGCTTTCTGCTGCCGGGACCTTTCAGATGGGCGTTCGGCTTTCAGCCCCTGAACTAAAAACATATATTAGGCTTTCTGCTTTTCAGCTTTCAGAACGTCCCACCGAGTCCGATTTGTATAGATTTGGCCGTGTTTCCTTCGCAAGATCAAATATGGTCGGATGCACACAGGTCAACAAAAAAGGGCTTGTGAAACGATGTGAACACAAGAACACGAGACTTTTGCCCAACAGGACAGCTACTTGTTTTGCAGTTAGCCAAACAAATTTGTAATTTGGATAACGAAACCTACTTGTTTTGCAGTTGGCCAAACACATGTATAACAAAACAATACAACAGATCACTTCCAAGGAAGTGGGGACGCCATGGGACGCGCTACGACAGGATCCACGACCGTCATGTTGCCAAGGTGCCACGGAAAAGCTAAGCCTCATCATGTCCTGGCCCTCCATGGCGCAGCCTCGAAACAGGAACGGACGCAGCCCTTATTGCACCAAGTATGTCTGGACTTGGTAGACGCATGCCAAAATACACCCAGCTATAGCTATATAGGATGTGTCTGCTTCTTTTCCATCAGGATGTGTCTGGGTGCAATGAATCCACCCCAGTCACGCTACCCAAGTGGAAGCACGCGCCACTGAAAACCGCGTGCGCGGTTTGACCACGGTAGCTTGACGGATTTTCCATGAATTATGTGCAGGTCATCTGACACGCACGAGTCTTCATGGGTAGACTGGTCACACTTCCCTCCTCCTGAGGGGTCATTGTTTCGGGGTTCTCCCTGTTGAATACAGCCTCGACTCATATAGCTCGAGGCTGAGTCGCAACAGCTCAACTGCCTTTGCACAACGGTTGGAGAACCACTGCAAAGCGGAGAACATCCTGGTAACTGCATGATCAATCCCCATGAAAATGATGGGTGATTTAATCTCAAAATTGTATGTGTTTTTCTGTCACCCTTCATGGAAACCATCTGGATCTCAGACCTCGACTTCCTGCCAGGGGCACCTCATGCACCTCCAAACCCTGAGGCTTTTTCGAACAGCACCCCGATTTCCGCATGTCAAAAGCAACATGCGCCTGTCAAGGGTTGAAAGCGCCAAACGGCCTGGTAGTGGACAAAGTCCGAGCCTTATGTTTAAGCAGCTGAGCTGAGCTGACAACTGAATACAAATGAGTGACCGAGCTGGTCTTCCAACTCCATATCTTAGGGCATATATTGATGATATGTCGTTCCTTTGAAGAAACATATATCCAAGTGGTACTACGTGGGGCTTTCTACTGCAACCAAACAGCTGGGGGTTGAGGTGTTGAAGTAGCTCACACATGTGCTGATGGGGCCGAGGATGGTGGCTATCATATGGTGACAAGACTGGTGACAAGAACGTCCAAGTAATGCGTGTGTGTGTTTAAGTAGAGAGAACATGTAAACAAAGCAACACCCTCTGACCACTGGTAAACCAGAACAAACATGCATCACTACACTGATACTTACCAAGTCTCATTGCAACAAAACACCTGTTCGTTTTGAAATGTGAGGCTGCGGGGAAGCAAAGCTCAGTTGGTTCATGATGTTCAATGTGATTGCAACCTGCCCAACATTAAACAACAAAACAAAGCACTTCTACTACTGCCCCAAACAAGGGAAATACAAATCAATCCATGAATCCATGTCCAGATCTTATAGACATTCCAAACATCTTATATAACAACACTTGAAAACACATGACCCATGACAGTAGGTTAATTCACCTACCCAGTGGCTCCAGTCCTACCACCTTGGAAAAAGAACTCGCTCCTGAGTGGGCCCAAATGGGACCACACATGGAAGCAAGTTCCATAGGCAAACCCCATTCAATATTAGTTTGGCCCTAGGGATCCAGTGCCACCTTCTCAAAAGGTTCTTGGAACCTGCAGGCCAAAATGTTCAAGCGTCAATCATCCTATCCTTGCTATGTGATCAAGCCGGGCTGATCCATTGGATCAGTCTTCCGGGGGGGGTCCCAGAACAAGAGCTCTCCCGATTCTCCTTTTTCGCCTCGGCCGGCGCAACTGGTTGGAGTCTTCGAAGCCTTTGGCCGCCAAGGAGCGTTCGTCCAAGACGTTTTGCATGGTGATGTCGCGGACGGGAACGCCTCGAAGAACGTAGAAGAACGCGTTCCGTTCAAAATGCGACGTCAAGCGAGAGATTCCCTTTGAAAAGAAAGGTGAAACCAACGTTCGTACCGGTGAAGTACTTGTTGAATTTGAGTGGGGTCTTTTCGATTCTCCCCGAACAATGGTTCTCTCTCAGTCCCCCCCAAAAGAATCGGAAAAAAAAAGGAAACAGCTGCAAACCCAGGAAAAACGCTTGTTGTTGTTTGCAGCTTGTCCACCTGCTATCCATTTGTTCTGCTGGATGTTTTGACTCAGGACCGGTTCGTACCGAGTGTTGGAGTGTTCTGAAAAGAAGGTGCTCCAGCGAGCCTCACTGCTCCAGCTATGGTTTTCATGAAAAAGAAGGTACTTACCAGGTGTCAAACAATGATTCCTTGTTGAGTTATCCTGATCATCAGCGCAGCAGTGGATAACGAATCATGATTAAGAACATGGTCAATAGAGTGGGTGTTAACCCACATTTGCAGTCAGTGAATTGCACAAACCCGGACATGCTCAACCCATGTGTACTACTTTGATTGGTCTGTTTAAAGAACAGGTCAAGTTATACAACCCCTGAAAGGTCTATGTCGAAAGGTCTATGTTGTACCAGTCCCGGACATCAACATATATATATATATACAAGATTGAACCTCTGAACTGGAGGGACTCTGCTCAGACTCTGCAGGGTTCGATCGGCTGCTTAGTTTGCTGCTTCTCGAGCCGATCTCCCAGACCTAGTCAGAAATGGAAGGAAAACAAGAGCACATCAATAAACATAAATAAACATAAACATATTATCTATACTGCACATACAACTATACAATAACAAGTGGGTGGTCCATTCTCAAAGGTCAAGCAGGCGGTCGGTTCATTTTTTTGGAATATTCTTTAATCAATGTCTTTCATGCAAGGAAGGCCAAGTTGTGCGACGCTTCAGGCGAGGATTGATGCACTGTATTGAAATACCAAGTCCTTCGCTCCGCTCCAAACCATCGAGCCTTGATCTGAAATCGAGAAAGGCCGTGGATAGATCCCCCTGACCAGCGGCAGCGTGCGATCATACTCGCCTCAGCGAAGTGGTGCAGGGGTAGTAGTACGGAGGTGAGTGAACTTGAGAGGAGGGAGACACGAAAGGTAGGACAGCGGGAAGAGAAGAGAACGCGAGAGGCAGGAACAAAAATGCAATGTTCGACATGGTGATTTATCCCCTCGGAGGCGACCTTTCGTACATATATGTTCATATATGCACTTTAAATGTTCAAACATGTGCTCTCGAAATGTTCAAAAAGATCCTTAGGAAAACAAACTTGCCCCATGGCTCAGATCATCGGTGGGAATTGAATCGGAACATCATAGGATTTGAACTATCCTGAAACCATAAGAGGCTCACGAAGACGCTCCCCAGGAGAGAATTGACGTGCTTCATGAATGTTCAAGAGGGTTTCAACTATCCTGAAATCATGAGAGGCTCACGAAGACGATCTCCAGGAGAGAATTGATTTGAGAATTGATTTTAGAGGGGGGGGGGGGGGGGGGTCTGTATTGAAAAATCAATTCCAAGGGGGCCGGGGGGGGGGTCTGTATTGAAAAATCAATTCGAGGGGGGGGGGGTCTGAATTGAGCGATCAATTATTAGACCCGGACGTCCCAACACTTGCTTCGCAAGACAAACTCAAGGTATCCCCTAAAGGGCTACCTTTCGTGACAAGTGCACCTTTGGAGCCCCGTTCGTAGCTTCTTGCTCCGTTCGTAGCGATGCCAGGAGCCCCGTTCGTAGCATCCTTGCTCCTAGTCAGTAAGGCCAGGAGCCCCGAACGTAGCGTCCTTGCTGTGGGAGCTTCATGGAGCTTCATGGAGCTTCCTAAATCCCATCGGGTCCAGGTAGCTCCGTACTTCGGATGGCCTTTCACGGAGGTGAGTTCGTACGAAACCCAGAGAATGGTCGTTGCCAGTCTTTCAGGACATCCGAGCAACGGATGGTCCTGGACCCTTAGAGAATGGATTGAGCCTGCTCCGGGGAAACATGCGCACGATGACATGACCCACACCGTCCGAGAACTTGGACGGGGGGCCGAGATGACATGAGTGGTTTTGCATGGTTTTGCAGTGCTTTGACCAAGGTTCCCATACCCTCAATAAACCATCGAAACCTGTTGTGAAACGCCTTCGCACGCTTCTCAAACCAACATGGAAACCAGCAACGATTTCTGTGAGAGATGTTCCGGACAGCAGGGGCTCACCCGCACCCCCCAAAAAAAACACCCCCGTGCAATGTTCACTCAAAGATACATCTAATCACTGGAAGAGTGGCAATCCAAGGTCAACAAACTCATCACCAAGTCGTTTTCTCTCTTCATCCCACGTCACGGGCTTCTGCTGAAGTGGACGCGCAGATCTGTTGACCTGACACCCGTTGTGGCGGGCTTCGCCACGCAAACTGAGATAAAGGGCCAACCCTCCAAACTGTACATCGACATACCAGGACGATCCTGTCTGGGTGTCCTGACTGGAGATCACTATAGTCACTATAGGGATCTGCAGTCAGGACACTCAAACAGGATGGTCCAGGGAGGTTGGAGTTCCAAATGTTCCTGGTGAGCGATAATGGGACCAGAATCGGATCGCAACTTGTCCCTCCCCTTGTGGATCCGAACCACACCCCCGTCACTAATGGTTTGACGAAGCGTCACCGTCGCTTCGAAAAAAGAAGCGCCAAAGACATGTGGGAAGACGTGCAGGTTCAAAGAAGCCTAGACTGTGATTCCTGGCAAACCGCTGAAAACACAGCTAGAAAACTGCACAACATGCAGGTGCATCCATCATGATCATCCATAGAACTGGAATATTAAGCTTAGTTCCACAATATAAATACATTCTGTTCATCCATCTATACATGTTCTACTAAAGCCTACCAAGTCTTTCAACACCCAGCATCCTTTGTCATGGAAAGTGAGTAAGACTCTACCTTTCAAGTGTTTTTTTCTTACTTACTAGGTGAGCGTGTCTGTTGATTTCCCAGCATCTTCATGGTGGCCTCTCCCCTTGTTTTGCCTCCACCGCAGTCTTTTTTGAGAGGCCTGCAGTCATGTCGGAGGGCAACCCATCTGGCCAAAGGTGGACGTCCAAGGTGGTGCATGCCTTGAAGTAAAAGTCTTTGCCTCGGCTCCCAGGCCCTTCAGGGCCAGTGTTGGCTGGAATGGCTTACAACAGTTTTTTGTCAAAACACCCCTGCATGCTTTGGGTGCGCAAGACTCAAGGTCCAACGGAAGAAGTGAAGGAACGTACCTCCAAACTGATCGTCATCCGGTTGATTCCAATCATTTGCTGTGTTTGACATGTTGCTTCCTCTTTCCGACTAGACACCTCCACAATACCAGGTTCTCACACCGCAGGTTTTGTCTCAAACAAATTCAAAGACTCGTTGATCTCTCGCTGATACCAGGTTTCTGGGCTTTATCCATGGGACTGGAATGTTTAGCTACTTTGACTCTTCAAACATCTCAAAATCAACCAATGTACCTCAATCTTCAAAGAGGTGTAAAGCATGGAGATCTGCAAGTAGTGTAGGGTATTCCAGCTAGACTGCAATTTTGGAAGGTGGTAGGCAAATACCTGGACCCTCCAAAAGACCTTAAAGCATGGGACATGACCCCGAAAACAAGTACAAATAGGGGAGGGTTCTTAATGCAGCTTCATTGAAGCATGCTCCAACCCCCAGCAAGTGGCTAAAACATATTTGTCAATTTTTGTCAATGTGTGGCTCTACCAATAGGAAGGCACCCTTGCGACTAGAATCATCACAGAATGCTCTGCTCATCTCTGTTCGCAATTGGGTGATTGTCGATTCAAACACCAACCCATGCAGGCGCTAGAGCCGCTGGAGCGGACAAAATCCAGTCAGTTCAGTTAAGAAACCTACAGTAGCTGTTACAGTTCACAGTCCAAGAGTGAAGACGGTGTCGGTGGACTTGTGCCCCAGTCGCTCAATGAACAAATCCTCGTGGCCGACTAGAATAGGGCGCAGAACCATGGCTGTTGGTTGCCACCGACTAGAATAGAGCGTACAAACATTTTTGGAGTGCTGGGCGGGCGAATGGCTCGATAACTGCCCTTCAAATCAAGAACTCTACAGGTACCCCACTGACGTTTTCACCGGCCACTGAATCATGTCAAGATGCTAAGCACAGTCCTTGGGCTAACTCAAGGCCAAGCTAAAGCGAAAAGGGCTCGTGAGGAAAAGGACTGTACAAACAAATATATAAAGTGAAGTGGAAATAGGCGTCAGTTTGCTCACCACAACCGGACCTAGCTTTGAGGGAATCACATGTGGCTGCTTCAACACAACCTATCCAGCTAAAAGTACCTCAGATAGGGACCGGAAAGGGTACGATTGGCCCTGGCACACCCAAACACCTATAGGTGGCAGTGGAAACGGAATGGCACAAGTGTCACTGTATAGTGATCCCCGAAAAAATAGTGGCCCGGTGTGGAAAAACCTTTCTAGTGGGTATTTTTTTTGTTCGATCTATTTGGGGACCACTGTCTGTCCAAACAAACCAACAAATCGTGGTTGCTGATCACTTCTTCTCACAGCTCTGGGCTACAAATCACAGCTCTGCATCATGCAACATCCATCCGAGACTGTAGGGGACAGTCTCGGTCCTTGCTCATACCTGGACCCTCCAAAGTACCAAAACACATGATAAAACAAGCACTGCATGGTACCTATTGAACCCAAGATACTTTGAGACTACAGATATGAGCTCCGTTAGCCACCCAAAATCTAACATGAAAAATGTACTGGTGCAACATCCTATTCTGATGAGTTTTCAGGACTATGACATACTATGACCCTTGTCTTTTTCATAAAGAGTACTAGTGTTAGGTTCATGCAGGTATGTCTGGCCTTTGCTTGGCCTTCAACGTCTGTCTAAAGAACCTTGAACTGCTGGTTCACTTTCTCAAATGACCCACATGGCAAAAGCAGCTCCATGGCCATGGTAGATCACGGGTTACCCATGCTTCTTCCCGTGTATCTGGCCATTCGAGCTGGAGAGACAACTCCGCTAGCCGATGCGAGAAACCTCGTTCCTTATGTTCCTTTGTGCCAGGAGCCTTTAAGGGGTATATAATATCTATTCATAGCCATTTAGAGGTTAAAGGGTGTCCATGAGCTACCCTGTGCGGGGGTCTTTGGTATTGGAACACCACAGACTTAGAAGTCTGACACAAATAAACAGAATATTATATATAGAGGTACAACAGCCCAGGCTTAGAGATCCTATAGACCCTATAGGCATTGGGCTTCAGTCCCGAGAACCACATCCCCAGTAGTCATCGATCTTGGGTGAAAAATCATGGATCTGAGAAGTCTGAGAATGGTGACGAAAACAGGCACCCCCCCATCCTTTTGCAAGCTTTGGGTAAGCTCCAGCGAAAGGAGATTGGAAGGCTTTCATGTGGCCTTTCACCATGAACTATCCATCGTTTGACCCTGTCAACATCCCATGTGTTGGGTGTTCGGTCCATTGCTGCGTCCCAAGGCGCCATTTCGCCTGGCCCACCTGCCAAAGCCGAGCACCGCCATCCTGGCAACTGCAAGGAACCAGTTTCAAACTGAGGATTTGGATTGAAAACAACAACAAATTATCATAAACCATATTTTGTCTGCCAGGACCCTCCAACAGGTCACCACCTGCGACTTTTAAGTCTACAAAAGCCTCCAGAGGAGACCTGTTGGAGGGTGCTGGTGCATGTTAATAAATGTTGTGTTTTACATGTACTTATTGTTCAAGCATGATTTGCTCGAAACCGGAGATGACTTGCAGACCCCTCACGAGCCCCCGAGCTAACCGTACTCCGACGAGATATAGAGACGGAGCTTGTACCCTCATCACTGGAAGATTTTCCAAAGCTGACCCCCGAGCCTTTCCCAACGGGGAAATCTCAAGTCTGTCCGTTGAGAACGGGGAACATCTCGACTCTGAAAGATCTGTGGAGTTTTGCTCCACTCTGTATACCTGCCCTACTCGGCTGCCCACCCCACCTGTTAGGGTTTGAGTGGGGTGTCCCCACTCGAACAAAGGTTTTGCAGGTGATCCACCTTTCCTGGGTAGAGCTCCAAATACCTTGCCAAAACCCGGGCGGGAAGCCTTGGAAGATACAAGAACCTACCAGTCACCCGTTACTGCCAGTGGTTTCACCCTGGTTCCGCCCGACCATCGCACCATCGCACAGTCAAACACTGAGTCCAGCGCATCGCACAGTCCAAGCTCCACGACCACCCAGCGACCATGCCCAAGCTTGGGAATAGAGGCGGGCCGATGCCAACCAGGGGTATCCCCATTCTTAAACCCTACCTTGACTCGACTTCAAGTACCTAAGAAAATGGGACATGACCCCATAAAGACTGGTCCGCCTGGACCCTCCCCTGGCACCTAATTACATGTCTCAGTGTCGAACACCTCACACCGATAGGATCCCTAGGGAATCCACCAACCAAAGATGAACTTGGTGATCGGCCACATCCGGCCCCAACCACCCCCGGAACACCGCCCACCCGAACCCGGGTTCGCGCCGGTCTCGTCTCCGGCCGCCCGGCCTCCTCGAAGCGTTCGAGCACCTGGTTCTCCGCTAAGTTGGGGATCCGGGACCTGGCACCGTGTGGGTTTGGACCCCCAAACGTCGGTCTGGACAGCGGTCGAAACTGGAGTCAAGGACCGACTCCGCTGGGCTTGTGATGTCTTTTTATAGAAAGAACTGCGGGTTTGGTGGGAAGATCCAATGGTTCAGCCCGCCCTAGGTTTCCCAAGAACCATGGGTTTCACCAATCTTTTGGACGAACCAGGTCAACGTTTGTGTTATAAATAGTTGTTGTTTTGTTTTTTCTCCGTGGCCTTGGAAGGACACGGCCCAAGCAAATGAAAATCTGACACTCCATGTCCAAGTGTAGACATCTTGAACAGTGAGCAAGCATTGAACAAGCCTTAAAAAAAGCCAGGAACTCATTGAGGCTACTTTGCTCCAATTGACCACCCTCTAAGATTACTTTAGGATTAGATATGGGGTTCATCAGCTGGGTTGGCGATAAGATATATAATGGATAGTTGTTCTTACAATTCCACTTGCCAATCTGGAATCCGAGAAAAACAACTCCTCCAGATTGGATGGGACATTGGCCTTCCCCAAAATGGTTTTCCTGGTCATGTGGTGTTTCGTGCAAGCACACGCTGCTTTCCTCTTCTCCTGGACGGTAGCTATATCGTGCACGTATGAGATCTTGGTAACAAAGCCACAAAGCACGTAGCCAAGATCTATCTGGCAGAAATTGTGAGTGGGTTGCGGATGCTTGGCTTCCAAATTCATACAACATCCAAATGTGCTTCATCCCAGTGATTGGGGTCTGTGTTTATTGTTGTCTTCTCCCCAAGTAATGCTAATGCTACATTGTTTCCAACAAGGAAATCTTTGTGGGAAGATCTGTCAAAACTCCATGTGGCTGGCCGTGTCTCTCCGGGGCCGTGGCCAACCCCGAAGCCGAACGGCACGAAGCCGAATGGCGCCGTTGACGGCCGAGCGTCTCCAGCAGTTCGTAGCTCGTCATCACATCCCAGACCTCTTCCACGCTCGCTGAGATGTCGATGCCTCGCAAGGGTTGAGAGGTTAAAAGACCTGAACTGGGCCCTTTTCTTGGTACATATGCAGGTGAAGGGTTGAGATATCTCCGTCACGGTTGGGCCGCGGCCGCTGGGCGCGAGTCAGGCGTCGCGCAGGAAGTGCACTCCTGGACACCCCTTAACGTCTAAGAGGCTATTGGACACCCGGAATCCGTGGTGGCTGGTCTATGGTCTATGCCTTTCCGAGTGCATGAAATTGCAACGAAAAAAGATGGCCATGTCAATCCATCAAGCCATCTTGGCTGTGAGGAACTCAATCTCCCCCACCAAACCATCGGATGTTGACGATCCGTCAACCAGGGTGCCCGGGTTTTGCCATGACCCACTGCCGTATGGGTGCTGTATGGAAAATATGGATACCAAAGGACATCGATGCAATCAGATCTCAATTTGGTTGCAAGGTAAGAACATATACCAATCCAACCTTCTGGTATCCTCCACCTTCTGGTCTCGATCTTTGAGAGGTATTCATTCTCACCCCAAACACCTCAGAAGCTACTCCCTAGGGCTCCAACCATATCCTCAGGTTCGGTGGTTAGACCCCCCCTGGCACCCACCCCAACCACCGAACCTCAAGAGGTGGGCCAGGGGCCCTAGGGACTGGGAGGCCGGTCTTAGGGTCTCTTCGAAACCTCGAAGCTTGCGTGGTCGCCCGGTCGGAGCATGGGGTGACCGAGACCGTGACCCGCGAGGCGACCGTAGAGCGGGTTCCGGGCCTGTGAAAATGCGGCCTAGGTGGCAGTGAAGGGGGCCAAGGACTCCAGTGGAAGGGCTACTTGGTCCCACAGGTGGGGGCAAATCCATCTACTGGTGGGTGACACTAGAAGTGCTACTAGACATGCATGGGCAACTGCTGAAAACCCACCCACCCCCGGCATTTGAACATAAATTAGTTCTAGTTTTAATGTGATTCCCATGATTTCCAGGTAGACTGTTCTGATGGTCAGCCGGAGGGAAATAACAGACCCACTCCATCACTCCATCCGGCTCCCAGTCGTGAACAAAACACTGCGGTGGTCTCATGAGGTTTCAACTACAGTAAGTTGAACACTATTAGGGTTCGATGATCCCAAGTAGACAAACAAATTCTGACACCACCACTGATCTGCCAAAAAGCACCAAAAAGAGTCAAAGTGCGGATCCGCAAGCGAAGCGGCGTGCGTTGCCGGGGGCGTCCTCCAAACGCACCACGGGCTCACCACCAGGAATGAGACACACCAAGTCCGTCAAGACCACCGGCTTTTCCTGTCGACTTGGTGACCCGCAGGACGACGGCATGACGCCGCTGTGTTGCGATGGACTGGCAGATGTTTCTCCAAGTGGGTGCGGGGAAAACCACTAGTATATTAAGGAACCATGGGGTTTTCGTTCAGTCTATGGTAGTCTTGAGGGTTGCCAGCTGCTCATTGGATCCTGTCCCATGGAGTGTCGGTTGCTTTTTGTGTTCAAAGGATTTCTAAGGCACCCAAGTTGCGGGATGAAGACCTGGACCTGACTTGGATACCCTGGACTATGAGTAGATGACATGAATGAAAGGCAGGTACCAGGATCTTCAATTCGTGACCTCTTTGGAGTCTCCAAGTGGCCTTTCATAGGCTAAGCTCATCCTGAGATCTCAAGTCCGGTCACTTTGGAGGGTCCTGCTACTTGCTGCCCATGGTCTGAGGTCTACGAACAGGTTGACTCCAGCGAGAGGATCTTTCGAAGTTTCGGCCAAGTCAGCGAACACGCCAGGGGGGCCCTCGATCGGTTTACGGTGGAACCGCTGGTTGCCTGGATCCACTGGATGAATGAAGTATCAATTTGTGCTCCAGAAATGGCGAATCCGAGTCAATTCCTTGGGATTCCATCACCCGCCTCGCGATCCTGCTCTTCACACTCATCTTCACGGCCAAAGGCATCCTAGCGTGGGATGGCCCCGGCGGAGCCGGCGCAAACTAAAAGGACCTTCTGACCTGCCAGCCATGTCTTTTTGAAGAAAGCACAGGGATCCTGGTGCATGAGATACACCGCAAGCGATGGATAATCCGAAATCAATTGCTGAATGGTAATGTCGAATAAAATGCTGGTTTCCACATAACGCCATCAATCACATGGTTCAAGTCCCACAAGGATACTACATGGAGGATCGAGATGGCAGTTTGGTCTAGCGCTTGACTGTTTCTTCGAGCTAGTACATAACTTTGCGTGTGAGCAACCGCCAAAACGTGCAATGACTAATATAGTAAAGAGCAGTCGTGAATCTCAGGAAATGGGCTAAAACCTGCAAACATGATAGGCCACCCTCAAAAGCGATAACCTTATTTCTGCCGTTGTCTTAGATATGTTCAGCTGTGTTGACATCGTGGCTGAAACCTGCAAAAACGATAGGCCTCCCTCAAAAGCGATAACCTTGCTGAATCATGTCATGTTTTTTGACAGTACGTTTTGGCAAATGCTCATATAGGTTCTGGGCGTGTGAAAGGTTGCGTTTCTTTAAGTTGGATGATGTTTGACATTGTTTGACATTGACATGATTCGCTGATTTGATGTAATTTTTATCAAACAACTAAGGCTTGATTTGCGGGTCATAAAAAAAGGTCCATCAATCCCAAAGGGACTTTTTGACCAAACCACACGATTGAAACAACTTCCAAAGCTGACTGGTAGTGGACAAGGACCACACAATCCAAACAAAATGTATCGAAACATCACCCCCAAAAAACATTTCTTTATAGTTGCTGCCTCTTTCTCGACTCTTCACGCCATCGGAGCACCCTGCACGGCTTCCAAAACCACGCACTCGGCACCCACTCAACCCAGCCACAGTGCACCGACGATGACGACGACCGGTCCCGCCTTGCGTCGTCGGAGGCTTCGCAGGGCGAAGGGCAACAAGGACAGCATGGTTTCTCGGGCCGGAAGACCTCGAATGCCGCGGACGGTGGAGAGTGACGGAACCTCAAACTCAAGGAGCCGTGATGTGTTGCGAAATGGTGTGGAGCAGCTGGACAAGACTGGTTTTCACCTGGCTTAAGTTGCATCCTATCATATAAGTCTGGACAGTTACTTGTAGGGTTTAGTTTGGTGCGCCATGGTCTGTGTGACTTGTGCGTACGAGGGTCAAATTTAGTGAGTCAAGAGGAGTTTGTTCAGAAAACCATGTTCGCGGTAAAAAAAACAACAAGCCGGAAAGTCACTGGAAGGGAGCAAGTTCTCACCACATGTTGGTCCAAAACAGTAATTAGGAATGGTCCCGAGGGCTCCAACCATACCCTCAGAAGGTGGTTAGACCCCCATCTTCTCAGGAGGTAGTTGGAGCCCTAGGGGGTAGAAGAGAGCCCTGAATACACAATATTTGACGCACGCTTTGAGTCCGCCGGCCCCGGTCTAGGACGATGAACGTGAGCGTGAGTGGGCCCGGCGTGTTGTTGAGAGGGACTCCGGTGAGCGGTGGCCGATACCGTTTCTCCGTCTCCTTGCCAAAGCTCTGCCCAAACAATGTTCAATTCTAGATTCGCTGCTGGTCCAGTTCTTTTTCGCTGGCCTGGGGCTCGACTGCCCCCAGGGTTTGCATCGGGGTGTCGCCAGGGTCTCCAGTTGGCATCCAAAAGTACTACCCTGTGACCACCTGCCACACATTGTTGCGGTTGTGTGTTTGTGGCTCTGTGTTGTGGTTGTGTGCTGTGGTTGTGCGTTGTGGCTGTGCGACCTCGCTGTGTTCGTGGTTGTGTGTTCTGGTTGTGTGTTTGTGGTTCTACGGTTGTCGTTTGGTCGTGTGCTGCGGTTGTGTGGTTGTGGTTGTGTGTGTCACCCCCTGTGCCAAAGGGTTCACTGCCACCGTTACCGTCACCACCATTTTCCAAAGCAGGCATCTCGCTGCTGACCTGGTCTAACAAAGCTAGGCAGCGAGATGGGAAGCACCAAAGGACGCTTTGGTGTGTACCTGCCACAACTTTTGCACAAGCTGTCCAATCTCCTTTTTTGTTTCCATGGTAGTTCATGATACTTCCATACTTCCCCCAAACCTACTCTTCCCCAGCAGCTGTGCCGCGCTCACGTTTGACACCGCCGACCTTGTGAGCTGCAGATGTGCAATAACCTTTGTTAAACAATACCTTTTCACGGACTCTGCCACCTTGCCGTTCCATCGCCATTTTACCTGGGAACTGAGTGTAACTGAAAACCCATGTCAGAGTGTGTCTCGCTCAGCCGTCCCACTCGGGTGCTGAGTGTGATCCTCCGCAAGGAGGCGCCGTTTCATTGGGAAATCATTAACGGAACTCACCACCGCTCACCGGAATTTCACTGGATTTCACCTCCACTCCCACCGAATTAACTGCCTCAACGGCCGCCGGGCCAAAAAACAGGACTACTTGGTCAGCGGCCGGGCTATAAAACGGCACTCCACCCCCAATGAGGCAGGTTTCCCAACCCCCCCCAGCTGAGCTCTACTCCCTACCTAATTAGGGCAACATAGGGAAATGGTACTCGACACACTTGTGTGTCGGTGCCTTTCCCTGTGTTGTTCCTTTTCCAGTCTTTCCTACCCGGGCGGTCTAAGACTAAAGTCCCGCTCCCTAGCTATTGCACGTAATTCATTTCTGCTAAGTAATCAGTAATTCTAGAGGGCTAAGTATTCATACACACACACACACACACACGGACACACACATGTACATACACTTCCCTGCCCCCCGCTTTCCTTCTTACGCTTTCGGTCGTTTCTTGGGCTTTCTCTCAGGCTTTTTAGGTTGTTCTTGAGGCTCGTTTCCCTACCCCAGTCAAGGGCTAAGTATTCATTTTCCTACACCTACCTTTCTTTCTTGCCCTCTTAGCGCTGCTCTTTCTGTCTTTCTTTTCTTTTGTTTCTAAGGCTTTTTAGGTGACTATTTAGGTTTTTCACATGCGCGCCGCGAAGCGGCACCGTGTGTGTGTGTGTCACCCCCTGTGCCAAAGGGTTCACTGCCACCGTTACCGTCACCACCATTTTCCAAAGCAGGGGGACCAGGCATCTCGCTGCTGACCTGGTCTAACAAAGCTAGGCAGCGAGATGGGAAGCACCAAAGGACGCTTTGGTGTGTACCTGCCACAACTTTTGCACAAGCTGTCCAATCTCCTTTTTTGTTTCCATGGTAGTTCATGATACTTCCATACTTCCCCCAAACCTACTCTTCCCCAGCAGCTGTGCCGCGCTCACGTTTGACACCGCCGACTTTGTGAGCTGCAGATGTGCAATAACCTTTGTTAAACAATACCTTTTCACGGACTCTGCCACCTTGCCGTTCCATCGCCATTTTACCTGGGAACTGAGTGTAACTGAAAACCCATGTCAGAGTGTGTGTTTGTGGTTGTGTCGTTGGGGTTGTGTGTTTGTGGTTGTTTTTGTGGTTGTGAGTTCGTGTTATGTGTTTGTGGTTGTTGTGTGTTTGTGGTTTTTGTGTGCTTCTGGTTGTTGTGTGCTTGTTGTTGTGTGTCTTTGTGGTTGTGTGTTTGTGGTTGCGTGTTGTTGGTTGTGTGTTTGTGGTTGTGTATGGTGTGCTTGTGGTTCTGCTTTGTGGGGATCACTGCGATCTGGTGCTTGCTGTTGAGGTCCGCTACTGTGCCAGGCGGCATTCTTATTGAACAGCCCTGGCGGGAAAGCTTGCCCTTGCATGGTGGATATGTTTTTTGTTGGTTGTGTATTTTGTATGTTGTGTGGTTGTGTGTTGAGGTCCGGTAGTGCCCACTGTGATCTGGCACTTGCGGTTGGGGTCCGGCAGTGCCCACTGTGATCTGGACATCTGGCAGGTGGGTAACAATTGCAGCCAAGGGCACCATCAAATTGCCAATAAGTTTCCAATAATGGGTAAGTACCAAGCCAGCAATAAGCACTTGCTGAAATTGTGTCATCGTCGGCTTTTAGAAGCATGCTTCGCCAACTCCGCATCGTGCTTCTTCAGGTGCTTGTAGGCATCTGGACTTGCCGCTTTCGAAGATGGCGTCCGCTTTCGAAGAGAAGGCTGCTCTTGAAGATGGCGGCTCCACCTTTTCCTCGTGGCTGGGGCCATTCAGTTGGCAGCAGTGGCTTGTGCCTCTTCAGTGGTCCCACATGGTCTTTGACACAAATGGCACACCTGGTACTGCTGGCCCTTGCTTTTCCACAGCCAAGCTTCTTCGTTTCTTTGGCAGCGTCATCTGAGGGCTTACGTTTCGTGGAGGTAGTCAAAGGGCTGGGTGGCGACGTACCATTCAGGTAGTCGGAAATGTTCAAGGTGTCCCTGTCCGCATGGTCTTTGGGGTCATGGTGACACCATAGGTTGGTCCAGTGTTTGAGGGAGAGGTTGGTGCTCAAGGTAGTGCTCTTCTGCACCACTTGACCCAGTCAACACTGGTCGAATGAAATTCGGGACTGGTGCCCTCGCGGTGCCCAGTGTGTGTGTGTGCGTGTCCACCCCTGGACAAAGGGTTCTCAACCACCTTCGGCAGGGGCGTCAGGCTCGACACACCTACCTGACGCAACGAAGCTATGGTGTGTCGAGGGAAGCAGTCAGAGACGTCTGTGTACCTGCACAACTTTTGAACAAGCTGTCACCCTACTTTTCCACTTTTTGATTCATGGTTCTTCATGCTTCCACCCCAAAACAGGTTTCTCAGCCACTTTCAGCAGCCGCGGTCTTTTGCAGCTTGTCGTCGCAGTCAAGGGAAACAACCTTTGTTCAAACACCTACAATTTCTCGGACTTTTCGCCATACTGTTCCACCGCCATCCTTCCCATCGTGGTAACTGAGTCACTGAAAACCAATGTCAGAGTGTGTTTCGCTCAGCCGTCCCACTCGGGTGCTGAGTGTGATCCCCGTCACAGGGGCGCCGTCTTTGCATAGGAAATCATCCACCCCAACTTGCCACCTTTCACTGGATTTCCACTGGAAGTCATTGACACATCCATAGAATCAACTGATGCATTGGCCGCCGGGCCCAAAAACGGGTTTACTTCGACAGCCGCCGGGCTATAAAACGGTGCGGTGCCCAACCCCCAATGAGGCAGGTTCCCCAACCCCCCCCCCCGCTGAGTTCTACTCCCTACCTATTTAGGGCAACATAGGGAAATGGTACTCGACACGCTTGTGTGTCGGTGCCTTTCCCTGTGTTGTTCCTTTTCTAATCTTTCCTACCCGGGCGGTCTAAGACTAAAGTCCCGCTCCCTAGCTATTGCACGTAATTCATTTCTGCTAAGTAATCAGTAATTCTAGAGGGCTAAGTGTTCATACACACACACGGACACACACATGTACATACACTTCCCTGCCCGCCGCTTTTCTTCTTACGCCTTCGGTCGTTTCTTGGGCTTTCTCTCAGGCTTTTTAGGTTGTTCTTGAGGCTCGTTTCCCTACCCCAGTCAAGGGCTAAGTAATCATTTT